TTTGCAACATTGCACTATTGGGATATATGGAAATTTTCAACTTTGCACTATTGAGACATACATGTATGGAAATTTGCAACATTGCACTATAGGGGCATATGGAAATTTGCAACTTTGCACTATAGGGGCATATGGAAATTTGCAACGTTGCACTATTGGGACATATGAGAAATTTGCAACTTTGCACTATAGGGGCATATGGAAATTTGCAACTTTGCACTATAGGGACATATGGAAATTTGCAACTTTGCACTATAGGGGCATATGGAAATTTGCAACATTGCACTATTGGGACATATGGAAATTTGCAACATTGCACTATTGGGACATATGGAAATTTGCAACGTTGCACTATTGGGACATATGGAAATTTTCAACTTTGCACTATTGAGACATATGGAAATTTGCAACTTTGCACTATAGGGACATATGGAAATTTTCAACGTTGCACTATAGGGACATATGGAAATTTGCAACATTGCACTATTGGGACATATGGAAATTTGCAACATTGCACTATTGGGACATATGGAAATTTGCAACATTGCACTATTGGGACATATGGAAATTTGCAACGTTGCACTATTGGGACATATGGAAATTTTCAACGTTGCACTATAGGGACATATGGAAATTTGCAACTTTGCACTATAGGGGCATATGGAAATTTGCAACTTTGCACTATTGGGACATATGGAAATTTGCAACTTTGCACTATTGAGACATATGGAAATTTGCAACTTTGCACTATAGGGGCATATGGAAATTTGCAACATTGCACTATAGGGGCATATGGAAATTTTCAACTTTGCACTATTGGGACATATGGAAATTTGCAACTTTGCACTATTGGGACATATGGAAATTTGCAACGTTGCACTATTGGGATATATGGAAATTTTCAACTTTGCACTATAGGGGCATATGGAAATTTGCAACTTTGCACTATTGGGGCATATGGAAATTTGCAACTTTGCACTATTGGGATATATGGAAATTTTCAACTTTGCACTATTGAGACATACATGTATGGAAATTTGCAACATTGCACTATAGGGGCATATGGAAATTTGCAACTTTGCACTATAGGGGCATATGGAAATTTGCAACGTTGCACTATTGGGACATATGGAAATTTGCAACTTTGCACTATAGGGACATATGGAAATTTGCAACTTTGCACTATTGAGACATACATGTATGGAAATTTGCAACATTGCACTATAGGGGCATATGGAAATTTGCAACTTTGCACTATAGGGGCATATGGAAATTTGCAACATTGCACTATTGAGACATATGGAAATTTGCAACTTTGCACTATTGGGGCATATGGAAATTTGCAACTTTGCACTATAGGGGCATATGGAAATTTTCAACTTTGCACTATAGGGGCATATGAAAATTTGCAACGTTGCACTATTGGGACATATGGAAATTTTCAACTTTGCACTATTGAGACATACATGTATGGAAATTTGCAACATTGCACTATAGGGGCATATGGAAATTTGCAACTTTGCACTATAGGGGCATATGGAAATTTGCAACGTTGCACTATTGGGACATATGAGAAATTTGCAACTTTGCACTATAGGGGCATATGGAAATTTTCAACTTTGCACTATTGGGGCATATGAGAAATTTGCAAACTTGCACTATAGGGGCATATGGAAATTTTCAACTTTGCACTATTGGGACATATGGAAAATTAGCACTTTTGGGGCATATTGGAATATGCAAATAAAAATTTGGGGAAGGCATCTTCTGATTTTTATATTCATGAGATTCAAGCACTGTTGAACCTATATATGTTACCTGTGATCAGAATAACATTTATTTAACTTGTAAATTTTATATTATACACAAAGTTCTGTCGCATAATGCATTGCATATACCAGTATGTTCATTACCATGCTCAGTAGGGCAAAATCTGAATTCAACTCGCAGTAATGTCTATTTGTGAATACATGGCATATGGGGAAGAGTTGATAATTTCATTCTTGACTGCATTCATAATTGTTTACATTTATATACCTATAAGGTTATCAAGAGAATACTGCAAGTATGTATGAAGGTAGTATGATGGTCATATCAACAGATGCATAGCACAGGTTATCGTAATGCCTGAATGCATACTTTGCAAAACTCTTTCTGCTTGTAATAATGATTTAATGAGAGATAATAGTGATAGAGATAAATGTGTTATGCTGTACGATCGCTTGTATGTAGTGATGGAATTCACTAATGTCCAATGTTAAAAAAGAAATAGTTTGAATGTGATGTAAAGATGTAAAAGATATTCAAATGCATTCATAACACTTTCAGACACCTCTGTATGGCATTTCTAATGACGGATTTATAATAATACTATCTATACAATGTTTCTTAGGTGATAATGATGATGAAGAGACAGTATCCATAGCAAGCAATGATTCCAGGTATCTATACAAATCAGAGCATCGTAACCTATATTTAAACTTTATTTATACACTGCTATCAAATATAAACATTTTTGAGCTGTTGGCTTAGTTGATTAACTGTCATTGTCCTGTGCTCATCTTCGCCAGCCTTACATTTTCAACTCCTTTTTGAAAACAGCTTGGTGTGATACTTGGTATATATGTACCTTTGTGCTTTTTCTGACTTCTTAAAACATTGCTAGCCCAGTTGTTTTAATATTTCATACTTAGGCACTTTAGGTGGGTCTTTGACAAATGTGTTAATTTTTTTAAGCTATTTTCAACTGTTTAACTAGCAGAGCTATATTATGCTTTTTTATTACCTTGCCCGTACCATCAAAGATGGAAGGGAAAGGTATATTAAGGGAAAAATTGTGTCCGTCGTTGTTGTCGTCGTCGTCGTTAATAATTGTTATTGTGTGCATAATAACTTTACTAATTCTATTCCAAACTTTATCAAACTTGGTCACCTTATTTATCAGTATAAAGTCTTCCCTGAGTTTGAACAACATGTCCTGTATGAAAATATGCAAAAATTGAGAAAATCTGATAAAATATTTTGACTGTTTCTACTTGACTGATCACTGGTGATACACATCAAAGGTCACTGATCTCAGTGGAAATATGCATTGTTGTATGTGTTCAATGAAGCAAATGATTTATCTTGTAATATATTCTTGGTAATGTATCTCAGAATCCCATACTGGGG